GTTAAGCAGACTATGACTTTCATTATACCACGCCGTGTAAGTCCGACGTTTCGTACAAGGGAAAATGGCAGGATCCCGCGCGGGCGGAAGACGCGCGGAAATATTATACCGACGTGTACAACAGATATGTAACGTCGTACGCCCGGATTTTGAACAATGAAGTTAATCCAGCCAAAAGTGTTCCACGTTTGGACACAGCCGGAGATAATGCTCACCATGAAATAATACCGCTGAATTACAAAGACATGTAATCTGCCTTCACGTTTCATTATTTAATGTCTCAGCTTCCATTTGTGTAATTGGATAAGCGTAACAATGAGAGGCGTTATTTGTCGTATCAAGATGAAAAAAAAAAAAATATTAATTATACAAATCCTCTTGCTGATGGAATGTTTTATTTTTTCTATTACATTTTTGTTTGTTTGTTTTTTTTTTTTTTTGACGTTGCGTGTCGGTGATAATCTTTTTTTTTCCCGCATATTTATATTGCATATATTTATGAATACGTCACGACTTAGAGAGATATTACGCATATTTTTGCGAGAGAGAGAAAATTTCTACTTGCAATGTTGAATAATAAACATACACATCTAGTAATTAAATTTGTATAAAAAGTTACATAGCACGCGTATCGGTTATGTTTTTCTTTTGTCAATATTATTTCCCGCGGATAAGAGAACAAACCATAGTTTGTGAAACAATATATCATCATTATTCACGTAACACGATACATTTCTACGATAATTACAAGTAATAATTAAGTTCGGAATATCGCATTCCATAATTTGATGAATTACATTCTTCAACAGCTGAGATGAGAGGATTCGTTCTTGTTCCCTTCTTCTTTTACATAACAATTAGAGATCGTGTTATATGGAGAAATAACGAGATTATTAATGACGAGATGTGACAGGTATAATTTCATGAAGGCAGATAAATGACAACACTTGGCAGGGAGCACGGCGAAGTAAAACGCGGCACGAAGAGAGCAACAATAATTTGGCGAGAGAGGTGCCTCGATTTTTCAACCGGGCTCATTATTCTTTCTTGCGCGCTTCTTTCTCTTCTTTTTTTTTTTTTTTTTTTCAGTCGCTTCTCCCGGTGTATTCCGGTCGCTTGATAAATAGCTCCTCGCAGTTTGACCTTTTCGATGTGAATTCAGGAGAAAAGACAAATCGATTCCGTTCCCGAGTGACCCGATCGTCCGTAACAAATATTACATCGTTCGATAACCGTCTGCTGCGTGTTTTCGCGAGTTTCCGCATTTGAAAGAAATGTAGTGCCCGCGCTTTATATTAACTGTCTCTTGTATCGCGTCTCTCTCTCTCTCTCTCTTTCTCTCTTCAGTCAATAAAAAAAACGTCATTGATCAAACTTCGAGAAACGTTGTTGTTGTCGTCGTCGTTGTTGTCGAAATACCGAGCGACCGTCCCGACGTTTGCAGACTTATTCGCGGCAATAACGTTCTCCCCGGTCTTTGCGCACGACAAAGCAATCCCGTCGACAGCGTTACGTCGTGGCGTGTAAAGCGCGCCCGGGTTACGTTTCACGAGGCTCAACATGGAACGTGGCGGAACGTTACAGTAAATACCGCAGACTTGAATGGTTCCGACGTGCTGCGTAAGCCGAGGCGAGCCACCGCGGTGACTACGGTTGTGTGTATCTACACGTTCTATCGTCACGATGAAAGGTTTGCAGTTACGAAAAGCTGTCTCCTGATTGCACGTAACCAAGCCGAGGCGCCAAGATTGGTTCATTAATCTTAGCAACAAACGCGCGCGATATCACAGTTTCATGAAGAGACCGCGACATCCTAAGTAAATGCGACAGCGAGCGCGCGTTCGTCGAAACGCCGTGGTGCAGAAAATGCAGTTGCGCAATTGCACGAGAGGGGATGGTGGTTATACCCCGATTCTGCGAGTGAGAAAAAAGCGAAAAAACGCGACGAGGCAGAGAATGGCTCGTATCCGACCTCCAACAATGAAACCTTCTTTAGCAGCGCCGCTGTTAGCAAAGCTTGAATAGAATCACGGTCGTGTGGTCAATGGAATTCAGTTATCCAAGCTTGAATGTAAAGAAAAAAACAGAAAAAGATCGGAAAATGCAAGAAAATTGCAAACCGCGAAATCGTGGAAGATCGCGGAGATTGCTTCCGCGACTTTAGTCAAAAGAGAAATTTTATGTAATGCTGAAACATGTTGAACATTTTCCAGATACATATATATATATATATATATATATATTACACACACACAGCGAGATATCCATAAAATTAAGCGATATTGTAATGAAGTGCAGCTGATTCGCGGCTAATTAAACGGCCGGTGAACGTTTCCGTGTACATTAACAATATCGCGCGTTTAATCGTGCAATCATCTCGCAGGAATTGTCGTGAATTTTTTATCCGTAAAACGAAATTTACACGATGGCGAAATGTTCCGACAGATTTACAGTTTGCTATTAATTTATGACAACACACTCGACGCAATTACTCACACGCCGTTCTCGCGCCGTGATTATAATTTCAAATTTTCACTTGCATAGAAAGACACAAAACACGCGTACATATTGGCTTTTACAAATTTACATTTCCCTGGTGTAATCTACTGCTCTTGTGCTCATAATGCAAGTAATTTTACCCTCTGTCATCTGCGAATGTAATTATCCTCAAGTTGCTCCGTGGCTCGCATTTATGAGACGCACGAAGTTATATAACTATCGGGGAAGCGCCGTCACTGAACATCGTTAAACTCGCGACAAACGGTTGTCATAATCTCCAAGTTTAGATAGTTTCGTCACCTCGAATTCGCTGGAAAATATCATAACGCTATCGCGCGTTACCATCCGCAAAATTTTCCGAGTAGAATTCCTGCGTACTGACTTGCATGTATGCACTTCCGCGTGAGCGCGCGCATAATCCGACAGTGTTTTACGCGCTTTACCCCGTTTAGTCAAGGTGCGGTCAAGTAAACTGTTTAATCCTGGATAGAATGTATAATCCTCTCGCCCGTTAATGGATGTAACGGCGCATCAGAATGTTTCAGAGAAAAAGACGAAAACGCAGCGCAGTTTCCGGGGAGAAACATGTTTGTTACATCCATTCGTTACGCTGACACTCGGTTTTTCCGATGCCGGAAGAAAAAACAAATTGCATATAGAAAATATGTGCGCGTGCGTTTTTGAAGTATCAAAACAGTTTTTCCGGATAACTTTTTCAGGATTAAACGCTTTTAAAAGCGATAGAGAGCAGCAAAAAGTAACTTTAATTTGCAGAAAAAGTACTCTTTTACTTTTCCATAAAATACATTAACTTAATAAACTAATTACTGCTTGTACACACCGACGCAATTGTATTCAAAATCCATAAATTAGAATGAAAAACGGTCACGAATAAATACATATCTCGCAATTGTGATATTAACGAAACGATAAAACCGTGAAACGCGATTCAATTTAAATGACCGTAAATGTGTCAATTAATAAATTCAAAGATTATGGAAGCGCGGCACGATTTTGTTCAACTTTTATTATCGATAGATTTTATACCCGCGGAGGATGGGAAAATTCTCGATTTATCTTTCAAGCGTATCAAAAAACACTACGAGACATTTTAAACAACGAGTTGTAATTTCACACTCGTCAGTATTCGGTTCGGTTTGTCGCCGCAATTCAACATCCCACCTTTGCACGGTGTATGATTGTATAGGCGATATTGCGCGTACCTACATGATAGCAAAAGATACATATCGGATTTCGTAACCTTTATCCTCAATTGAAAATTTCGTTGTTATATTACGAAAAAAAAAAAATAAAAAATAAAAAAAAATAAAAAAAACAGTTTAGAATCAAGTTGATCATTTCGATAAATACTTTTCATCTATTACAAGGTTACATATAATTTCACGTAACTGTTTGAAGACTAGAGAGAATTTGTGGAAAAAAAAATTCTGAGAGAAATCATCCGTTATTAATTTTCTCAGATTCGTTTTTCTTGTCGCTATAATTTTGTTTGACAAAATAACGCTCAGTAAGACGTTCTTTTGCTTCACCGCGCGTGATTTTCGTATTCGCCGCGATAAGGAGGTGAACGTCTCACGAGTCGTGCTTCCCAAAGTGACATGCGTCACTTGTGAATGGCGTAAACGATGTTCCTGGCGGGCGCGTGCCCGCCGTGCGTGTTCATCGTGTGTCACTTGTCACTGCGATGTGCGTTCTCGCATGTAAATCTATGAGACTATTTCAAAGTGACACGTCGCGGACAAAATATCGCTAATATGTGTCGTTTTGTCGCTGCCGTCGTGTGACAGCAGCTCGCTACGCGTGAAACTATTAATTTTTTTGACACTCAGTTTGGAATCATCAATCTTTCTAAACTTATCTATCATACGCAACCTTCGAGCGACGATTTTGTTTTTGTGACTTTTGCGCGTGAAACATCCGTAAAATTAGAGGAAGGTGGGAGAGGGGAGCCGAAAGGGGAGAGATTCAATTGCGTTCGCGTTTTCCGATTTTGCGGATAAATCTTTCGGGAACGGAGATGTACAAACTGCAATTGCGATTGTCAGTACGGAATAGGTATTCTCTATTACGGAGTACTATTACCGTCCGTTAACCGAGTTCACGAGTAATACCAAAGTACTCGAAATCACGGGGGTTTGGTTTAATGGGTTTCGAAACTGATTCGCAGACGTGAATTTTGATTTAATCGGATTTTCGATATGTTTCACATTGGCGCGCGGCGCTCTACGATTTCCCGATGCCGTTTCAAACGTTGATACGCCGTTATCGTGACAAAATCTCATGTAAACAATCGCGCGATACAGAAATTAATTTACTTTTGAGCGCAATATCTCTTATGGCGCGCGGATATTTTACATAATAAAAATAAAAAAAAAAAAATAAAAAATACAATCTCGTTTGAATCTCGCGTCTATACTACGATAAACAAATAAGTCTCGATAAGTTATCTATCCTTGATGTTCTTTTCTGTCTATTTGCAGGACGACAAGGGAGGAGTCTGTTACCGATGACGAATCGCCATTCCGATTTGGAGGATGATGAATCATTATTGAATAGTCACGCTAACAGAAGTGAGTAGTAGACCCGTACGTTTGACAATTGCAATTCATCCGGGAATCACTAGCAAAAGCTATCGGGATCCCGCGGGATTGTTGCGGGAATGCGCGCTCGTTGTCCGAAAATCAGATTCGCGTGACTGCGCGAGTGTCAATCGGGACCCGGGGCATTATCGTCCTTGTTGTTTGCGTTAAAGGCCAAAATAAACTACGAAATACCCGTGACGCGCTTTTGCGTTGCGTTTGTACGGACAACACGCGTGTGTACATCAGCGCGCAGAGAGTCGCGGACGCGCCTCGTGAAATGGACCATTTTGCGCTTTCGGCGTACACACGCGCCTGCTTGTAAAATAACTTTTCCCGCACTCTCCCTCCCGGCCGTGCGATTCGATTCTTGCGCCATACACCGTCGACCTCGAAGCTCTTTCCGATATTACATCGCGACGATAAAACCTCGCTGTGGGCTTATCGCCGCATCGCAGATTGTTTTATATATGTATAATCTCCATTGAAAATAAATGTGCGAGTGTGCGTCTATGTATAGCGACAGCGGATTTTTGTACGCGTTTTTTATTTTTTTGTTTCTTTCTTTCTTCCGCTTATCGATCTGTTGCGGGAAAATGGCGAGCGCCAACAAGTAGCTTTCCGGTCGAATCGCGCGATTGCATAATGCAGACGACGAGCGTGTGTATAACGTTCGATGGATAGCGTGCATCAAACGGCGGTAACGTAATAAAAAGTAATATCGCTGCGGCGCAGTCGTTCTAATTTTACGAGCTGCAGTTTCGTTGCTGTCGCACTTTAGAGAATGATATATGTGCGGTTAACATATTTAGTGCTGTACAGACAATCATTTCTCATCAGCGCAATAAGAAAAAACTAGTTTCTGTATCGAGAGGAAACGCTGAACCGTTCTGTTTTACCCACATTTTGTAGTTCCAATTTGTTGTAAAAACTACTAATCGAAATGAAAAACGCTTTTCTAGAATGAAAGAAAACATGCTAAAAAATGGAATGCTCTTAAAACATACAAGAAAACAAAGTTTACGGACCGTTATTGAGTGGACTACATTTTCACTTCGTGAATACTAAATTGTCAATGATTCCAAACAAAAGTTTGGAATATTGGTTTCCATTCTATAGACATAACCGAATATTTTGAATGTATCAGAAAAAGACTTTGAAGTTTGTAAAAAACAGGAGTTTGGGATTAAAATTAATACAGTTTTAGCAGAATTGACACATACCGGAAAGACATAAGTGTCTAACCTTGTTTCTATTATTTAGTTAGTCATTTAGTTTTTCTGATTCGACTAGAGGCACTACTTACTGAACAGCGTAACAGTTGAGAGCGGCTGTCAAATCCGAATTAGACTTGTCGCTTCACTCTGTTAAGCTATACATTTGCAAAAAGCGATATTTTTATAATGCATTGATAGCACTTTTCGAACAGTTTTATGTTGCGCTTTTTAAAATGCAACGTCAACGACGGCATCAATAATTTTACACGATAATCGAATATTGAAACTAGAAAAAACATAGTTATTTAACTATGTGAAATTGAAGACAAATGAGAGCCAGTTTACAAGGTGTAGATGTATTTTTTAATTCAACTAGCACAACACAGGCGCGCGCTACGCACACGCTATTGTTATTTAGCGTGTTGTCAGTGAACACAACCTGTCACCACGATGACAGATAGTATATACGTCTTATAAACCATATAATACACATATGAGAAATGTCAGAAGTAACGCATGAAAATCAAATTCAAAAAATAGTGAAAGAGAAAAGTAGAAAAACAACACGTGACAGGAAAAAGGGTAAAAAAGAGAATATTATATATATGTAATATTCTATATCTATATATAATACACACACATAAGCATACATGTATATATATATATATATATATACCGTAATCACGTGACCGAAGTCAGTAACACCGCCGCGTTCGGGCGGCCGAGGTCAGTGACTTCACCGCAGTCGCGCGACCGGGGTCATTGACCCCGTCGCAGTCGCGCGACCGGGGTCATTGACCCCGTAGCGGTCGCGCGACTGCGGTCAGTGACGTCTCCCCCCACCAAGGCCGCGCGGCGGAGGTCGGTGACATTATTGTAGTATGTATATAATACATATAATACAATAAGTAAAGTATAATATTATAAATATATAATAAATTATATGTATAATATGTATTATTTAATGTTATATATAATATAAATTACAGTCACGTTATTTTCACGTGTTGTTTTTCTACTCTTTCCTATTACGTGACTTTAGTTACGTTTTTAATTTTCTCTACATATACGACGAACTGTCTCGAACTCAAAATTGCTTTTCATTATTTACTCTCTCGATCTTACCGATTCGACTCGATCAACTAACCCACCAATCGGCAACGCGGAAAAAAAGCAACAATAGATGCGATACATTCGGCTCCAAAACGCGCACTTTTCGGTCCAAATGCCTTTTTTAATATAGGATTAATTAGTACACGTCTATCTCAAACGTTTCGATCTTCAATTGAAATCTTCTTCAGTGATAAACTGGAAGAACAAAAGTCAAAAACAAATAGTTATTTAAATATTTTACCATAAAAATAGAGAAGTTGTTTCAGTTATATGAGCAAGAATAATGCAATAGACAGACGGGCGATAAATGTCTGTTTCAAAGCGTATATCAGAGGTGTAAAATAAACGCAGTGCTATATTTCTCGCTTCTGTCCAACTCGCCTTTCTAATGTTGTGGCCAAAACGTGTCACTTCAAGTGTACCTCGCGCCAATGTCCTACATCCAGCGCATACATGATACTGAGAAACCTGAATCCTCAATAGCCCGAGAGTCCTTCTCCCGACCAAGCAGCAGCAGAGCGCCAAATCCCAGTAGAATTCCGCGGAGTTCGAAACGAACGTCCCGCTTTCTCCCGGCACAGCTTAATAACCATTTGCATATGTCTTATCGGTCGATATCAGATGAGCATCCGGTTACGAGCAAGCGAGCGAACAAGCAAGTTGTCGAATTTCGACTTCAGATAAAAATATATCAGTTGTGTCACGAAAGCCGGATGAAATCTCGTCACCTCAACCGCCCACTCATCTATCTTTATCTTCATCTTGCCGCTCCGCTGTCACTCTCTCCTCGGATTCCTCCGATTCTCCACATCCTTCTTGTCTTTCTCGTCAGGATTCTAGTTCGCCTTTTTTGTTCGCGAAAATCCGCGACAAAACCTCGCGCCGGCTGCTGAGAGAATGAGAGAGAGAGAGAGAGAGACGGAAAGGGTTTCGGTATGCAATGGCTCTTCTAAGTGCCCTCTCCCCGTCTCCTCTTCGTCGCGCGTTCCCTTCTATTTGTCGTTTCGTGCGCGCCGATCGATACCGCCAACACCCGTGATTTCGAAGCCGGTGTTGTAGCGGCTTCCGCGTCGTGACGGAAGACGGGGAGAGAAACGCGCGCGGCGCTCGGTCGCACAGACCGCGTCGTTGGTGTTCGGCGACGGGAACACGCGCGAATCATTCGTCACAATGGTGACGCGCCTGCCGCTCGACTTGCTGTCTCTTCCCTCTTCCTTTCGTGCCGTACGCGATCCTCTCGCGGTAGAGCAGTCTATCGTTACGCCCGTACGACGTATTCGCGCGCGCGTTCGACGTTTCCTTCCTTCCTTCCTTCCTTCCTTCCTTCCTTCCTTCCCGTCCGATTTCCCGCTCCACCTGTTTCCCCGACGTCGGGAGAGAATTCCCCTTTCGCCCGATACGCGATCTCGCCGAGACGTCGTGTGCGCCTGAGACTAATCGGTAACACGGGCACTCGGGAAATCTCACGATCTGACCAATTCCCCGGGAAAAGGAACGACAACCCTTACGCTCCGGGCGCTACCCTCGTTTCTTTGCGCAAATTAAAGAAACGAGTTTCTCCCGCGCGAAGATTTCTCGCGAGATTTTTGACAAGAAAATGTTCGTCGCGTTAGTCCATCGCGGTTGATAATGGTGATGGAGGTAATTAGAGATAACGGCAGTATTTCACGTAGACACACGTGCACGAACAAGGTTTGCGCGCGGTAAAATATTAGCTAAAGTCGGCGCGCAAGATGTTCCATCATTTGGTAGAGGGATGTGACGATGACGATTTGTTTGAGCACAAAATTTATCTTGCATATTATCTTGTTTGTTAGAGAACACTCGAAGTCTTTATTAATTAAGAAACTTTTATAAAAAACTGTTTGCAAAAATTAAGTGCACAGTCTATATGTTGTGTTTTTTTTTCTAGATATTGATTTTATTCGGAGATATTATATTTGTTATAAATATTATTATATTTGTTATGACGTTTTATTGTCGTTTCGATACCAACCACACACGTGCGATAATGAGGACAAGAGAACAAAGTAACTTCGTCTAGTTGGCATTACCGAATTCCGAGCGTGGGTGAAGCGAATCACTTTACATAGTGCGCGACCCGAAAAAGTTTTAATCATATCCCGTTAATAACGTAAACTAATCGGGTAGCAGGTAGACTGTTAATTAACCGTCTCGACTGTAGGACGGATGATGAATAATTTAATGCTTACGGTTCGTTTGCACCCTAATCAACCAAGAGTCGTTTGCGTTAAGCGGGCAATGTGCGGGGGAAGTTGGGGGGTTGTTTAGATAAAGGAGGTGGCAGCATTATTTGGAGAGTGAGAGAGAGAGAGAGAGAGAGAGTTGACTCGTCGCGAGACAATCAGATTTACAACTAGACCTCGCATTCTGAATGAGAGCTGAATAAGATCCGGCTGTAATTTGCGGAAATGAACCGATTGTCATCTAGTTGATGTACACGCGAATGACAATGCGAGTCGTAGAATAAACGAAGCTACACCGGCAGACACGATTCCCGCATCAGCGCGGTTAGCGATATAATGGTACTCTGCGTACATATAAAATAACGTTCGTTAAAATTAATTAACATTAATTTGAAAATTTGAAAGTAAAATTAATTTAAATTAATTAACATAGTTTTCTGAGCGAACATTTTCC